TGGTGGTGATGGTTGTGGTGGTCATGGAGGTGATGGTGGTCATGGTGGTGGTGGTGATGGTGGTGGTGGTGGTGGTGATGGAGGTGGTGGAGGAGGTGGTGGTGATGGTGGTGGTGATGGAGGTGGTGGTGGTTGATGGAGGTGGTGGTGGTGGGTGGTGATGGTTGTGGTGGTGATGGACGTGGTGGTGGTGGCAGTGATGGAGGTGATGGAGGTGGTGGTGGTGATGGTTGTGGTGGTGGTGATGGGAGGTGGTGGTGGTTGATGGAGGTGGTGGTGGTGAGTGGTGATGGTTGTGGTGGTGATGGATGTGGTGGTGGTGGTGGTGATGGAGATGGTTATGGAAATGGTAGTGGTGGTGGTGGTGGTGGTGATGGTGATGGTGATGGTGGTGGTAGGCACCTTTGATTGAACTGTCCCCAAGGGCCAGCCACTATTAACATATCACCAACTGTATACCTTGTTGATGTTAACTTGTCAACAATCTGCAGCTTCCTCTTACAGATGAGGAAAGCAAGAATCAATGGCATTAGTCAGCTCGCCCAAGGTCACGACGTTAGAAAGTGGCAGAGCTGGGGATTGTCATGTTTACCAGGATTGAGTTACAGTGAGTCACAAAACCCACGTCATCCCCACAGACATTGATGCACATTCCGCATTTTGCCCCCACAGTGGTACCTTCTGCACAGAAGGCAGCCCAACTACGTATGCTGCAGTCAGGGGGACGCACTAGGGGGTGGGGGTCAACACCAATGGAAGAGGGAAGGAAGAGGCCCTGATTCTCCCCAGAAGGAAAAAGTAAAAAGTTACCTGAAGCCTTCAATTTCAAGACTGCCCTCGGCCAGTTTTGCCACATGATCAGAGACTTATTTATAGCCATCCGAATCCTGACACGTGCAATTGAAAGGGGAGAATGTTTTTAAAGTCCAGGGTAAGGGAAGCCGCTGGTGGTTTTGAATTACAAATCCATTCCTCTCCTGACCCATGGATGCTGTCCTCCCCTGCCCAGTCACCTTAGGCTCCCCCAGCCCACTCCACACAAAAACAACATCAACAGCTGACAAAAAATCATGTACAATTACAAATACAAAGAAAAGCAGCCCTGGCAGGGGATAAGGCAAGGTTCTTGCTGCTTCTACAACTGTAAGTCTGGATATTTGCTCTGCCCCGTGTTCCTTCTCAGCAAAGCTATAACTTTGAGAGGATTGATGTTTGATTTACACAGAAAGATTGCTTGGCTCTGTCAAGATAAAAGTTTAAGTACCTGCCTTGCCACTGGTTTGTTCTGCTCCTCTGTAAGAAGAGGAACAAGGAACTAGAGGGAAAAATTTTTTTTTTCAACTTTGCAAACCAATCTATTCCTCCTTCCCTTTTGGTAAAGAAATATTTAAGTCGTATGCATTCTTGGAGAGAATTTTCAAAAAACACTCAGCCCACAAGAATTCTGTTCATCCCACAAAATCTGCCTTGGTCCTGCGTGCATTTGCTAACACTGCCTCCTCCACTTTCAGCCCATCAGCATTTTCTTCTTTTGCCTTCAATACCAGTAGGTTAGGACCGCACAGACATCTGCCCCTTTCGGAAACAGCGCTCCACGCCAGTGCTCTTTCCAAACACAGACTCCCATTTGAAGTCCTTGTAAAAGGATTAGAACAAAAAAGGCACGTATTTAACTGAACTTCGTTACGTTCTCCAGCAAATTCCCTTTAGCTTTACCTGGGTTTCTCTATGATTGGCTGTTTTTTGTTTAACTTATTTATTATGGTTACTGTCTAGTGTTCTTTGGTATTTCTTGCTGAAATTATTAAAACAAACAGCATCCAGTGTTTATTATGACGACTTACTATCTATGTGGCATAGTTTTTGAAAATAAGATTAACTGTGGGACAGGATGTTATCCCTTCCCAAGCAAGCTGGAGTGAAACTGCATCTTTCTGCCCAGAATCTAGGATTCCACTTCCTGCAGGTGACCACTTGGCTGCTGTGATGAGCCCGGAGGCTAGGGCGTCACCTGCAATTCAGATGTAAAATTCCGTGTGAATAACTATCCCAATTCGGAGGAGTAAATGTTTTGTTAGTATCGGTTCATTTCTATTCTTAACCTTACAGCATAATGTCAGGCTTACGCATGGCGTGAAATTCTGGTAAGTCCTACTACACCACGGAAGGGGAAGCTTTTTCTAACAGAGGGCGTGAAATGTGCTGAAGGAATCTTTCCTTTCTCAATCCAGCCAGGAAGGGCAGTTGTCGGGCCTAGTATAGAAACAATATTTTTGGTCTTTACTTCAAATTTGTTTTCTATGACAGTGGATAATTTGGCCCTGGCATGGCAAAGTTGAATTGGGCTACTGGATCTGCAAATATAGAAACACTCCAAAAAAGTTTTACTGGGCCAGGTGCACTTTGGGAGGCTGAGGCAGGTGGATCACTCCTGAGTTCAGGAGTTCAAGACCAGCCTGGCCAACATGGCAAAACCCTGTCTCTACTAAAAATACAAAAATTGGCTGGGCATGGTGGCATGCTCCTGTAGTCCCAGCTACTCAGGAGGCTGAGACAGGATAATCGCTTGAACCCAGGGGCGGAGGTTGCAGTGAGCCAAGATCGTGCCACTGCACTGCAGCCTGGGTGACAGAGTAAGACTCCATCCTGGGGGAAAAAAAAACCTCTTTTACTATTTTGAGGTATTTAAAATCAGTTGAAATTTCCTTAGTACATGATATCCTTGGGTTTGTTCAGTCCTAGTACTATAGGAGAAATATTTTAGTACCAGATTTTATTTTAATTTTGTTAAGAAAAATGGGGAATTATTTTCACTGGTAATTTTATTTTTCTTATTTTGCACTTAGGGATTGATATTTTCCTCCAAAGCAAAAATGCAATTCAACTAAAATTATTATTGATTTTTTGAGACAGAATCTTGCCCTGTCACCCAGGCTGGAATGCAGTGGCACTATCTTGGCTCACTGCAACCTCTGCCTCCCAGGTTCAAGCAATTCTCGTGCCTCGGCCTCCTGAGTAGCTGGGATTACAGGCATATGCCACCGCAACTAATTTTTATATTTTTAGTAGAAACGGGGTTTCACCATGTTGGCCAGGCTGGTCTTGAACTCCTGGCCTCAAGTGATCCACCTGCCTCGGCCTCCCAAAGTGCTGGGATTATAGGCATGAGCCACTGGGCACCGGGCCAGCTGCAGTTCAGCTAAAATTAAATGCTGGATGGTGGGGGATTCAAATATAAGAAGTTGTCCTTACTCTCAGGGTTCTCAATGATCAGCAGGAGAAACAGGCTCAAAACCACAAACAAGTACCTACAATAGGAAAAAAATATGTATAATTCAAGCTTAAATTAATATACATTGCAACTCTGACAGTTAATTCGGCCTGGAGAAGAGAAGGCAGCGGAAACTAAAGAGAAGCGAGGCCACAGCAGCAGGCTATTAGTACATCAGGCGGTTTTGCCAAGAGAGCTTCTAACGGAGGAGATTCCAAGTGCAGGGAATAGCACATGCTCTGACATTGACAATTCTCATCCCGCAACTAGGGTGTCATCTCCAGGGTCACAGTATAGTGGAGGTAGGAAGAGGGAGGGGCCATGAAGAGAATGAGACCAGAAAGAGAAATTCGCAAGGTGTAACAGGTGCTGCCCTCCTTGAGAAGGCAACAGTTGGGTACATTCTTGACAAAATGCCTCTCAGTATGTTTATCGTTTGAATTTATTAAAGCAATGGCTAATACGTCTGACCTAGCGCTTTAAGCAAAGGGAAGGGTGATACCTGGTCTTTATACTTGGTGAGAGGTATTTGATGAACACCTGGAGATGCGTACCATTCATTTCATGCTCCTCACCATTGGAATTAAGCATAAAGTTACCCAAGCTTGCCATGGTCCTAAGACAGACATTTTGTTGTTGTTCTTCAGGCTTGTCTGAGACGACAGGAATATAGAAGAGACCCAAATGAGAAGAAACGTGATCAGCTTTGGGGGCAAGAGACAAGTTTTGAGAGATCCCGGTTTTCTAGCAGGTCATCTTCCAAACAGGTATGAAGAATTCTGGGAGACAGTCTCCTGGGGCTGCTGCTGCTCGTGGTGGTGGTGGGGTGTGTGTGTGTGTGCGCGTGCGTGCGTGTGTGCGTGCGTGCGTGTGTGTGATTTAGGAAAAAGCCGACTCAAAAAGGAGATGCTGCAGAATCCCAAAGGTCAGGGCAGGGAGAGCCAGGGGCAGGAAGGAGCCCAGGGCTGGGAACTCCCTTCCTTGGGACACCACCCCTGTGGCTCCCAGCTCTGCAGTCTTCACGTCTCACTATGGTTGGACCTCACTCCTCTTTCCTGTAGATAAAGGTCCTGAAACAGATGGTCTATAAGACACCATCCAGATGAGAAGCACCGCAACTCTTTAAGATTTGGAGGCACTGGGCCTTCTGAAGCACAGCGTCATCTCTGTGGCATATGGTCTAACTTGATGCAAGATTGGGCCTAGTTTTTATTTCTGATGAAGGAAGAGAGTAAAATGTGGTAATAACTATATCATGTAATAATTGTTTAAATATTTTTGCCTAGAATGATATAACAATATGATGATAAAATATTTTTGCCTAGAATGATATAACAATATGATGATAATAACAATATGATAATAATATGATTAATAATAGTATCATTGTAATAGTAATTAAGCGGTTACCATTATTTCAGTGCTTGCAACATTCCAGGCACTATGTGAAGCACTTTATACATATTAGCTTATTTAATTCTCATAAATGTATATATCTATCACCTCTCCTTATCAATCTATCTATCTGTCTATCCATCCATCTATCCATCTTTGCCCCACTTTACAGATGAGAAAACTGGGCCTTACAGAAATTGCAAAACTTTACCTAAGATTTCACAGCCAGTGTGGTAGAGATTCCATTCTAGGCAGTCTGACCCCAGAGAAGGTGCTCTGATTCGCTAAGCTCTAGGATCATATTTTCATGTTTAAGATCTTATCTAAGAATTTTACTTATCCTATGTAAGAGCGCAATACCACAAGCTGTATTCAACACTGATTGTTAGCATGGTGAATTGATTTAAGATGAGTAATATGCCTTTTATGAATTCCTATTTAATATTTAATGCCTGAAATGTACTCTACAGGAGGGACTCCCTCTGTCCTACCAGTGGTGTGGATTCTGAGATAGATCCTGAATACACGATATCAATCAAGTTCTTGTTGAGAATTCTTTTTTAATCTAAGATGTTCACACTGTGGTTATTTAACGTTCAAAGGACACCTTAAAAACATCAGTGATTGATGTTTATAGATGCAGATGTATCCCTGGGAGAGAGATATGCTCTCTATTAAGGAATATAAAATCAGACAACAAAATATTTCACCTAGAGTCTCAAGGTGAAACAGACTCTCTCACAATATTGGCAGCACCAAGAACACGTTCCCTGGATCGTTTCCTGTTAGTCAAAGACTAAATATAATGCCTGCTGCTGATTAAACTTATGGAGTGAGATTAATGCAAAAATTAAATCTAGTTTGGCTAGAACAACACATTTTTAGCATTAAGATAAATTCTCACATTTTTACACTCAGAAATAAGATCAAGGATAGATAAGAAAATATAATTTAAGTCAAACAGTAGCACGCAGCAGTCTTCCCAGATTGGAATTGCTAAACAAGTGGGCAGCTGGGTTCCTCTGCAGGGAACTTTCATGCAGTGGCTCATGTGCATAGTCACGGCCATTTTATGTGCAATACTCATGCATTTGGGATATTCAGGATTTGAAATTTTATGTTCCTTTTCACACTTAAGCTTATGGGACAAGCTGGTGTCAGATTCCTATAGTTTTCTTCTTCCTGCTATACAAATTGTGCATTCTTTAAACCATCATTGCAAAACACTCAGACCACTTCTGAAAAAGGCCATGGTCGTATACATAAAAGTAATTCTGTGAAATAGCTTCTATAGTACAGTTTATATGGATCTTATTTCCCAATAATTTTATTATTCACCCCTACCCAATACAACATTTTTTTTAAATTATACTTTAAGTTCTAGGATACATGTGCACAACGTGCAGGTTTGTTACATAGGTATACACGTGCCGTGTTGGTTTGCTGCACCCATTAACTTGTCGTCTACATTAGGTATTTCTCCTAACGCTATCCCTCCCCCAGCCCCCCACCAAGTGACATGCCCCGGTGTGTGATGTTCCCCACCCTGTGTCCATGTGTTCTCATTGTTCACTTCCCACCTATGAGTAAGAACATGCAGTGTTTGGTTTTCTGTTCCTGTGTCAGTTTGCTGAGAATGATGGTTTCCATGTTCATCCATGTCCCTGCAAAGGACATGAACTCATCATTTTTTATGGCTGCATGGTATTCCATGGTTTATATGTGCCACATTTTCTTAATTCAGTCTGTCATTGATGGATATTTGGGTTGGTTCCAAGTCTTTGCTATTGTGAATAGTGCTGCAATAAACGTACATGTGCATGTGTCTTTATAGTAGCATGATTTATGATCCTTTGGGTATATACCCAGTAATGGGATTGCTGGGTCAAATATTTCTAGTTCTAGATCCTTGAGGAATCGCCACACTGTCTTCAGTTCAACTATGGTGGAACTAGTTTACACTCCCGCCAACCATGTAAAAGCCTTGCTATTTCTCCACTTCCTCTCTAGCATCTGTTGTTTCCTGACATTTTAATGATCGCCATTCTAACTGGTGTGAGATGGTATCTCATTGTGGTTTTGATTTGCATTTCTCTGATGACCAGTGATGATGAGCATTTTTTCGTGTGTCTGTTGGCTGCATAGATGTCTTCTTTTGAAAAGTGTCTGTTCATATCCTTTGCCCCCTTTTCAATGGGGTGGTTTCTTTTTTTTTCTGGTAGATTTGTTTAAGTTCTTTGTAGATTCTGGATATTAGCCCTTTGTCAGATGGGTAGATCGCAAAAATTTTCTCCCATTCTGTGGGTTGCCTCTTCACTCTGATGGTAGTTTATTTTGCTGTGCAGAAGCTCTTTAGTTTAATTAGATCCCATTTGTCTATTTTGGCTTTTGTTGCCACTGCTTTTGGTGTTTTAGTCATGAAGTCCTCGCCCATGCCTATGTCCTGAATGGTATTGCCTAGATTTTCTTCTAGGATTTTTATGGTTTTAGGTCTAACATTTAAGTCTTTAATCCATCTTGAATTAATTTTTACATAAGGTGTAAGGAAGGGATCCAGTTTCAGCTTTCTACATATGGCTAGCCAGTTTCCCCAGCACCATTTATTAAACAGGGAATCCTTTCCCGATTTCTTGTTTTTGTCAGGTTTGTCGAAGATCAGATGATTGTAGATGTGTGGTGTTATTTCTGAGGCCTCTTTTCTTTCCATTGGTCTCTATATGTTCTGGTATCAGTACCATGCTGTTTTGGTTACTGTAGCCTTGTAGTATCGTTTAAAGTCAGGTAGCGTGATGCCTCCAGCTTTGTTCTTTTGGCTTAGGATTGTCTTGGCAATGCGGGCTCTTTTTTGGTTCCGTATGAACTTTAAAGTAGTTTTTTCCAATTCTGTGAAGAAAATCATTGGTAGCTTGATGGGGATAGCATTGAATCTATAAATTACCTTGGGCAGTATGGCCAATTTTCACGATATTGATTCTTCCTATCCATGAGCATGGAATGTTCTTCCATTTGGTTTTATCCTCTTTTATTTGGTTTAGCAGTGGTTTATAGTTCTTCTTGAAGAGGTCCTTCACATCCCTTGTAAGTTGGATTCCTAGGTATTTTATTCTCTTTGTAGCAATTGTGAATGGGAGTTCACTCCATGATTGGCTCTCTGTTTGTCCTATTATGGTGTAGAATGCTTGTGATTTTTGCACGTCGATTTTGTATCCTGAGACTTTGCTGAAGTTGCTTATCAGCTCGAGGAACTATGGACTGAGACAATAGGGTTTTCTAAATATACAATCATGTCATCTTCAAACAGGAAACAGTTTGACTTCCTCTTTTCCTAAATGAATACCCTTATTTCTTTTCTCTTTGCCTGATTGCCCCTGGCCAGAATTCCAACACTATGTCGAATAGAGAGTGGTGAGAGAGGGCATCCCTGTCTTGTGCCGGTTTTTCAAGGGGAAATGCTTCCAGTTTTTTGCCCATTCCAGTATGATATTGGCTGTGGGTTTGGTCATAAATAGCTCTTATAATTTTGAGATATGTTCCATCAATACCTAGTTTTATTGAGAGTTTTTAGCATGAAGTGTGTTGAATTTTGTCAAAGGCCTTTTCTTGCATCTATAGAGATAATCATGTGGTTTTTGTCATTGGTTCTGTTTATGGACGGGTTACGTTTATTGTTGCATACGTTGAACCACGCCTGCATCCCAGGGGGAAGCCAACTTGATCGTGTTGGATAAGCTTTTTGATGTGCTGCTTGGATTCGGTTTGCTAGTATTTTATTTGAGGGTTTCCGCATCGATGTTCATCAGGGATATGGTCTAAAAATTCTCTTTTTTTGTTGTGGTCTCTGCCAGGCTTGGTATCAGGATAGTTGGCCTCATAAAATGAGTTAGGGAGGATTCCCTCTTTTTCTATTGATTGGAATAGTTTCAGAAGGAATGGTACCAGCTCCTCTTTGTACCTCTGCTAGAATTCGGCTGTGAATCTGTCTGGTCCTGGACTTTTTTTGGTTGGTAGCCTATTAATGATTGCCTCAGTTTCAGAACCTGTTATTGGTCTATTCAGGGATTCGACTTCTTCCTGGTTTAGCCTTGGGAGGGTATATGTGTCCAGGAATTTATCCATTTATCCATTCTTCTAGGTTTTCTAGTTTATTTGTGTAGAGGTGTTTATAGTATTCTCTGATGGTAGTTTGTATTTCTGTGGGATCGGTGGTGATATCCCCTTTATCATTTTTTGTTGTGTCTATTTGATTCTTCTCTCTTTTCCTCTTTATTAGTCTTGGCAGCAGTCTACCAATTTTGTTGATCTTTTCGAAAAACCAACTCCTGGATTCATTGATTTTTTGAAGGGTTTTTTGTGTCTCTATCTCCTTCAGTTC